CTGGGTGTTATGCACAAACAATGAATCATGGAACACTACATCAAAAACTAATGATGTAATGTATGGTGATTAACATAACATAATAAAAAAAATCAATGGTGTGAAAAAATTGGGGGTGGATAGGTAGGTAACATTTTTAAATTGAAGTATAGTTGACATACAATGTTATATTAGTTTCAGGTGTATGACATCATGATTCAGCAATTCTATATATTATGCAATGATGACCACAGTAAGTGTGGTTACTATGTGTCATCATGCAACATCATTACAATATTATTGACTATACTCTCTATGTTGTACTTTTCAATGACTTACTTGTTTTACAACTGGAGGTTTGTACTTCTTAATCTCCTTCAACTAATTCCCCCATCTTCCCCACCTACCCCTGGCAGCCACCAGTTTGTTCTCTGTATTTATGTATCTGTTTCTACTTTTGTTTATTTGTTGGTTCATTTGTTTTGTTTTTTAAATTCCACATATAAGTGAAATCATATGGTATTTGTATTTCTCTGTCTGACTTATTTCACTTAGCATAATACTCTCTAGGTTTATCATGTTGTTGCAAATGGCAAGATGTTATCCTTTTTTTTTGACCTGAGTAATATTCTAGTGTGTATGTGTGTGTGTGTGTATGTGTATCACATCTTCTTTATCCATTCATTTGTCAATGGACACTTAGGTTGCTTCCATATCTTGGCTATTGTAAATCATGCTGCAATAAACATAGAGGTGCATATAGCTTTTTTGCATTTGTGTTTTGGTTTTCTTTGGGTAAATACCCAGTAGTGGAATTGCTGGATCATATGGTAGTTATATATACATATATATAATTTTTTTTTGAGAAAACTCCATACTGTTTTCCATAGTGGCTGCACCAACTTACATTCCCATCAACAGTGCACAAGGGTTCGCTTTTCTCCACATCTTCACCAACACTTATTATTTCTTGTCTTTTTCATATTAACCATGCTGACTGGTGTGAGGTGATATCTTACTGTGGTTTTCATTCGCATTTCCCTGATGATTAAAGATGTTGAACATCTTTTCATGTGTCTATTGGCCATCTATATGCCTTCTTTTGACAAATGTCTGTTCATTCCTCTGCCCATTTATTAATCAAATTATTGTGTGTGTGTGTGTGTTGAGTTGTATAAGTTTTTATATATTTTGGATATATCATTCACAAATATCTTCTCCCATTCAATAGGTCACCTATTTGTTTTGTTAATGGTTTTCTTTGCTCTGCAAAAGCTTTTCATTTTGTTTTAGTCCAACTAGTTTATTTTTGCTTTTGTTTCCCTCACTTGAGGAGACATACTAGAAAAATGTTGCTAAAGCTGGCATCCAAGAGATTACTGCTTATGTTCTCTTTTAGGAGACTTATGGTTTCAGGTATCACATTTAGGTCTTTATTATTTTTCAATTTAAATTCAATTAATTAACATACATTTATGTCTTTAATCCATTTTGAGTTTATTCTTTTTTTTTAAAGGTTTTATTTATTTATTTGACAGAGAGAGACACAGCGAAGAGGGAACACAAGCAGGGGGAGTCGGGGAGGGAGAAGCAGGCTTCCGGCAGAGCAGGGAGCCCCATGCAGGGCTCGATCCCAGGACCCTGGGATCATGACCTGAGCCGAAGGCAGATGCTTAACGACTGAGCCACCCAGGTGCCCCTTGAGTTTATTCTTGTGCATGGTGTAAGAAAGTGGTCCAGTTTCATTTTTTTGAATGTACATTTCCAGCTTTCCCAACACCATTTATTGAAGAGACTGTCTTTTCTAGGTTGTGTATTCTTGCCTCCTTTGTTGTAGGTTAATTGACCATGTAAGCATCAAGCATGTAAGCATGTAAACATGTGGAATTTCTATCCTGTTCTATTGATCTATGTGTCTGCTTTTATGCCAGTACCATAATATTTTGATTACTATAGCTTTGTAGTATATCTTGAAATCTAGGATTGTGATACCTCCAGTTTTGTTCTTCTTTATCAAGATTGCTTTGGCTATTCAGGGTCTTTTGTGGTTCCATACAAATTTTAGGAATCTTTGCTCTAGTTCTGTGAAAAATACCATTGATATTTTGATAGGGATTGTGTTAAATCTGTAGATTACTTTGGGTAGTATAGACATTTAAAAAAAATTTGTTCTTCTAATCCATGAACATGGTATATCTTTCCATTTATTTGTGTCACTTTCAATTTCTTTCATCAATGTCTTATAGTTTTCAGAGTGTAAGTCTTTCACCTCCTTAATTAAATTTATTCCTAGGTATTTTATTCCTTTGGTGCAATTGTAAATGGAATTGTTATCTTAATTTCTTTCTCTGATAGTTTGTTACTAGTATATAGAAACCACAACTGATATCTGAATGTTAACTTTGTATCCTGCAATTTTACTGAATTTATTTATTAGTTCTTTTTTTTTTAAAGATTTTATTTATTTCAGAGAGAGAGAGAATGAGAGATAGAAAGCACAAGAGGGAAGAGGGTCAGAGGGAGAAGCAGACTCCCCGCCGAGCAGGAAGCCCGATGCGGGACTCGATCCTGGGACTCCAGGATCATGACCTGAGCCAAAGGCAGCCGCCCAACCAACTGAGCCACCCAGGCACCTAATAGTTTTTTTGTGGAGTCTTTAGTTTTCTTCTTTTTTAAAAAGATTTATTTATTTATTTGAGGTGGGGAGGGGCAGAGGGAGAGAATCTTCAAGCAAACTCACCACTGAGTGCAGAGCCCAACGCAGGGCTCCATCTCAAGACCCATGAGATCACAGCCTGAGCCTAAACCAAGAGTCAGATGCCCAACTGACTGAGCCACCCAGACATCCCTAGAGTTTCTATGTAAAGTATCATGTCATTTGCAAATGGGACAGTTTTATTTTTCCTTTACAAATTTAAATGCTCTTTCTTTCTTTCTTTCTCTTTCTTTTTCTTTCTTTCTTTCTCTTTCTTTTTCTTTCTTTCTTTCTTTCTTTCTTTTTCTTTCTTTCTTTCTTTCTTTCTTTTTTTTCTCTCTTTCTCTCTTTCTCTTTCTCTCTTCCTTCCTTCCTTTCTTCTTTCTTCCTTCCTTCCTTCCTTCCTTTCTTTCTTTCTTTCTCTTTCTTTCTCTTTCTTTCTTTCTTTCTTTCTTTCTTTCTTTCTTTCTTTCTTTCTTTCTTTCTTTCTCTCTTTCTCTCTTCCTTCCTTCCTTTCTTCTTTCTTTCCTTCCTTCCTTCCTTTCTTTCTTTCTTTCTTTCTTTCTTTCTTTCTTTCTTTCTTTCTTCTTTCCTTTCTTCCGCTTTCTTGTCTGATTGTTAAGACTCCAGTACTACATTGAACAAAAGTGGCAATAGTGGACATCCTTGTCTTGTTCCTGATCTTAGAGGAAAAGCTTTCAGATTTTCACCATTGTGTCTGATGTTAGTTGTAGGTTTATCATATATGGCCTTTTATTAGGTTGAAGTATGATCCCTCTAAACCCACTTGGTTGAGAGTTTTTATCATGAATGGATATTGAATTTTGTCAAATTCTTATTTTGAATCTATTGTGATGACAATATGTTTTTCTCCTTCATTTTGTTAATGTGATGTATCACATTGATTGATTAAAGGATATAGAACTATTCTTGCATGCCTGGAATAAATTCCACTTGATCATGGTGAATGATCCTTTTATGTATCATTGAATTTGGTTTGTTAATATTTTGTTAAGTCTTTTTGCATCTATGTTCATTAGGGATATGATGTGTAATTTTCTTTTTTTGTAGTGTCTTTGTCTAGTTTTGGTATCAGGGTAATGCTGGCCTTGTGAAATGAATTTGGAAATTTTCCTTCCTCTTCCTTTTTGGAATAGTTTGAGAAGAATAGGTATTAACTCTTTTTTAAATGTTTGGTAGAATTAACCTGTAAACCCATTTCGTACTGGACTTTTGTTTGTTGGGAGTTTTTTTTGATTACCAATTCAATTTCATTACTACTAATCAGTCTGTTCAGATTTTCTATTTATTCCTGGTTCAATTTTGGAAAATTGTATATCTCTAAGAATTTATCAGTTTCTTTTTATGTTGTCCAATTTGTTGCCATATCATTTTCATAATAGTCTCTTATAATCCTTTGTATTTCTGTGGTGTCAGTTACTTTGCCTTTTTCATTTCTGATTTTATTTATTTGACTCTTCTTTCTTTTATTTCAATGACTCTGACTAAAGATTTATCAATTTTGTTTATCTTTTCAAAGAACCAACTCTTGGTTTCATTGGCATTTTTAGTTGAATTTAATTTAATTTTATTTAGTCTCTATCTCATTTATTTCTGCTCTAATCTTTATCATTTCCTTCCTTTTACTAACTTTGGGCTTTTTTGGTTCTTCCTTTTCTAGTTCTTTTAGGTATAATGTCAGATTATTTATTTAGGATTTTTCTTCTTTCTTGAGATAGGCCTGAATTGGTATAAACTTCCTTCTTAGAACTGCTTTTGCTGTGTCCCAAAGATATTGGACCATTGTGTTTCCAGGTGGGTAACTCTTACACTTGATCTTAGCCAAAAGGCCAAGAAACATAATTCTTAAAGAATAAAAGATACGTTAAAAACTTAATAATCAAATAGAACGTTAGACTCTTTTGGACCTTGATTCAAACACACTGTTCTAAAAGGACATTTTTGAGAGGGGTGCCTGGGTGGATCAGCCAGTTAAGCATCAGATGACTCTTGGTTTCAGCTCAGGTCATGATCTCACAGTTGTGGGATCAAGTCCCACACAGGGCTCTGGGCTCAGCTTGGAGTCTGCTTCAGATTCTCTCTCCCTGTCCCTCCTGCTCACTCTCTCTCTCTCAGATAAATAAATAAATAAATAAAATCTTTTAAAAAGGATATTTTTGAGACAGTTGGGAAAACTTGAACATGGGCTGTTATTAAACAGTGTTAGGGAATTATTATTATTAGGGATACTAATGAGAGTATATTGCATATGTATAACATGTTTGTATCATTAGAAATGTATGTAGGTGAAGTGACATGATATCTCCAGTGTGCTTTAAAATACTTAAACAAGGGGCACCTGGGTGGCTCAGTCCTTAAGCATCTGCCTTCGGCTCAGGTCATGATCCCAGGGTCCTGGGATCGAGCCCTGCATGGGGCTCCCTGCTCGGCAGGAAGCCTGTTTCTCCCTCTCCCACTCCCCCTGCTTGTGTTCTCTCTCTTGCTGTGTCTCTCTCTGTCAAATAAATAAATAAATAAAATATTTTAAAAAAATAAAATAAATAAAATAAAATACTCAAACAAGCTGAACAAGACTGGCAAAATATTGATAATTGTTCAAGCTGGGAGAGAGGCACATCTTGGTTCATTCTAATAATCTGTCTATTTTTGTTATGTGGGAGCCTTTCTGATAAAAAGTTCTGAAGTAACAAATGTATTTAATAAATGAAAATATGAGAGAACATTCCATAGTTCTTCGAATGCCCACTCAGTAGTATTTTTACTGCTAACACTCCCCTATACCCACTTAAGATTACAATTTACCTAAAAGAAAGTTTCAGAGTCCCCAGATCAAGTAATGGGAAAACATAACACAAAACCTTAATTACCTTCACAACCAATTTCATCTTCTCCTGTAATGCAATCCACCTCACCGTTGCACTTATATTTGTTTGGAATACAAACACCAGATCTACAGAAGAAACTTTTGCCTCGGCATCCTACACAAACATAAATAGAAGAAGGTTTTTATTTTTATTTCTTCATACTTAAAATCCAATAGGATAGAATCTGAAATTCAATGGGGGAGTCTTCTGCTACCTGTACAGCACAGTTCGTCACTCTGGTCTCCACAATCATTGATACCGTTGCAGGTTCTCTTTTGAGGAATGTATTTCCCGTTCACACAGTGAAAGGAGTCATTTGTTGGAGGAGCTGTAAATTAGGAATTCTCTTTGTGAAATTTATTTATGGAGTTGTAGGTGACATCCTGATCACATTTGGAATAATGAGGACATTAATATAAAGTCAGGCATCAAATAGAAAATGATATTAAAACGTATTGGTAGCATCAACATAATATATATGGTTAATAAGGAAAATAAATGTCAATGCTGGTTTATGGAGTCCCTTTCGTTATCTCTGAAAACCAGTATTTACTGCGGAGGTCTGTACTTGCTGAGTTTGGGGGAGGGGGCTCAGGGTCACGGGCCCTTGCTCACATCGGCAAACACTGGTGTTCACCCATTCCTTTCAAGCTGCTGCACGAATCCTCACTTCCATCCCATGACTTACTTGGGCAGTGCAATTTATATTTTGATGGTATTTTTTTTTTTTTTTTTTAGCACCAAAAGAGGCTTTAGCCTTTAAAACCCTATGTATGACTAAAATATTCCCATGTCAGGACCGAGGAGGAAAGTGGCAGTGACTGTCCTGAGACTGTGGTCACTTAAATATTTTAAAGACATTTTTAAGTGTATAGGCTGGGCCTCTCAAAGGAGATATTGAGGTTTCTTCTGATGTTTGTATTACTTATGTTTGTGGTATTAACTTTAATCCAGATGTTTCAGCAAGCATAGAGGAGTCAGGCAACTTTGCTCCCCATGTAGGAACCTGGAGAGAAGTAATATTTGAATGCAAAACAGTACAATAGAGGAAAAGCACCAATTTAGGTTCTAAAGCTTAAATTGTTTGTTTACTAAAGCCTAAACTTGTTTGTTTACCACCAACGTGGTGTGCAATAAACAATTTTGAAGGAAGCTTTGAAGTTTCAGGCAAGTACCCTACCAACCTTCATTCTGTGTGTAGCAAACCACACCAGCGAAATTGTTGTCATTTTTAGTTCTTCTCTTAAAAGTACATTCAGCCAAACTTGTCTCTAATCCTCGACAACGCACTTGGAGACATTCAGTGGAATTTAAATAGAGATTTTCAGGAACCTCAAACTTTTTTTGAATATCAAAAGCACCTCTACAAATAGAATAAATGAAACATTAGGGTAGAATGATTAGTATTTTGCATTTATAACCTTACTGTACGAGGTAAGGAACTAAAGTAATTTCCTACATATGAGTGATACACTGAACAAGATGCTTAAATTCTCTGAGCCTCGGTATCTTCACCTGTAAAAGGGAATATGATAATCTCAGCTAGTTTTGTAAAGATTAATTAAAACAATCAATTTAAATTGGCTAGCCAGAGTTCAAACGTGGCAAACAGTCAGCAAATATTAATTTCTTCTTCTCTGTTTCTTGTTAAGGAGAACTCCTTCTTCCACACTCTTGATGTTTCCTTCCAACCTGAGATGAGTCATTCTTGGCTTCTCTCTATCTCTTAATTCCTTTTTGCTCAAGGAAAGGGAGTAAATAATCAATCAGAATTTTGGAATTATAAATCAGGCAAGGTTAGCTTACCTTTTCCATCTTTCCTTTTGGGGACCTTTTCACATGCCTCATGCTGTAAGGCTTACCTGGTTGGCCCCATTGTTGCTTAGAATTTGGGAGGTTAAGTTGGTTTAATTATAGCAGGTTCATTTTGTTTTTATGCCAAGCCATGTCCTCAATTCAACCTTGACAGTAGTAAGGTGATATTTTGGCATCTATATGCCAGTGCTTGGATTTCAAAATTTGTTCAGAATTTGTGCTACCTCCATGACTCAATATACTAGAGATGATGAGTTACAGTAAACTATTCTTCTAGAACATTCAATTACTCCCTGCTTCTCTTTAGAAGGAAATGGAGGAAATGGTGTTAAAAATAAGTTGAGCAAAGATGCATCAGGTAAATATAAACAATAACAAAGCAATAATGGCAATATAAATATTAGATCAATTATAATGAAGGCAAAAAGAAAATAATTAAAGGGAATAAGAAAGGCATTTTTAATGATTTCAGATCAATAATGATGATAAAAAGGAGTTATAAAACTGTGCCAAACAGCATCAGAATATGAGAACAAATGAGAGCCATTGGGGCAATCTCATAGGTAAATAATTTGAAAAAAACCTCTCAATTTAAAACTATCTAAAAATACTAGATAAAATGCATTCAATGAGCTCTTCTTTTTTTTTACAATTTTATTTATTTATTTGAGAGAGAGAGCATGAGCGGCCAGGTGGAGTGGAGGGAGAGAGAGAAGCAGACTCCCAGCTGAGCAGGGAGCCTGACGAGGGGCTCAATGAGCTCTTAAAGAAGTAAAGGAAATACCCACTGGCTAAAATAAGAGAAGTCTGGGGGTGCCTGGGTGGCTTTTGGTTGAGCATCTGCTTTTGGCTCAGGTCATGATCCCAGCGTCCTGGGATCGAGCCCTGCATCGGGCTCCCTCCTCAGTGGGGTGTCTGCTTCTCCCTCTCCCTCTGTGATCTCTCATTCTCTCTCAGATAAAGAAATAAAATATTTAAAAGTAAATAAATAAAATAAAATAAGAGAAGTCTGTCCATTAGCTCATACAAAATATGATAAGAGCAAAATACTGGGACATCAAAGATGGAGAGAGTTTCCCATTAGGTTGAATTATAGGTAGTAGGTCACAAACTGTCAAAAATCACAAATATCTTGTGGCTCCATTTAATAAGATACTCTCACTAATGAACTACTAGCAGATGTGGTTTAGGAAGAAGGAAACTGAATTTAGAATAAAGTTGAGAGATGCAAGAAGCAGCAACAAACCAAGATGTTTGTAAACATGAAATAAATCTGAGTAAGCACTAGCTGAACAGCAGTAATAATAATAACTTATTATATAATGATAGCAATTAACTTCAGGGATATATAAAAATAATGTGGAACTAAATGCTGGAAACTTGGTAAAAATAGTGACATTCCTTATATTATTCCTAAGAGTGTGAGGACTTCCTAAGTCAAGAATTTATAGTATAGGGGCGCCTGGGTGGCTCAGTCATTAAACGTCTGCCTTTGGCTCAGGTCATGGTCCCAGGGTCCTGGGATCGAGCCCTGCATCGGGCTCCCTGCTCCGTGGGAAGCCTGCTTCTCCCTCTCCCACTCCCCCTGCTTGTGTTCCCTCTCTCGCCGTGTCTCTCTCTTGTCACATAAGTAAATAAAATCTTTAAAAAAAAAAAAAATTCATGGTATAAATGTGAAGGTAACCACTAAAGGAACAGAAATAAGATGTATATAGTTTACAAACCAAGTAGAGGGGGCTGGGGGGATTAAAAAATACAACAACTTTATTAACCCAATAGAAATTAGAAAAGGAAGAAACAAATACACAGAAAAAACAGGGTAAATAATAATACTAAAATAAGATAGGGAAAATAAATTCAACAATGTAAATAATCAATAATGTAAATGGACTAAGCTCTTCAGTTATTGTCATATTGGATTTTTTTAAAAAAAATCTAGATACATGGTGTTTATAAAGGACACATTTAAAAGATAAAGACATAAAAAGCTTGTAAGTAAATAAATAGGAAAAGATTTGAACAAAGCAGTTAACAAGCTTACTTATTTTAATGGACAACATATTTATTATATAGAACCCTGCACATGAAACATTTAAAATATACTCAGCACAAAACAAATAAAATAAAATATACTCAGCACAAAGCAAGTGTCAACAAATATTTAAACAATTGTCATCATATAGAGACTATTCTCTTACCACAGTACAATTAAATAAGAAATCTATAACAAAAAGTTAACTAAAAGCAAATATATATTCATTAGGAAAGTAAAAAAGAAACTTCTAAATCAAAAAAGGAAATTATACTGAATATTAAAAAGTATTTCAAATTGAACAATAAATAAAACACCACTTTTATGCCACTGAGACTTATGGCATGCAGATGAAGCATTATCTAGAGGGAAATTTGTACCTTAAATGCTTACATTAGAAAATAAGAAAAGTTGTAAATCAATGAGTTAAGTAAGCATTTAACTCAAGGAATTAGGAAAAATACAATAGAGAAAAGAAAAGAGAGAGCCAAAGGGAACAACAAAACTTAATGAAGTTGAGAGAAAGTAACAAGAGACAATTTGCCTATAAAATATAAAAATCAAAAACACAGTCAAATAGATCTCTTCAAGGTTGATCAAGAAAAAAGACAGAAGGCACAGATAAACAATATTAGGTATGAAAAAGTGGACATAGTTATAGACAAACAGAGATAGTAATGAACATATTTACAACTCTCTGGAACCACAAAGGAGTCATATCCAGATACTTAAACAAACTTACAGGTGCTCTGTGCTCAGTGGTGTTCTAAGTGCTGGTGAAACATGAATATATTTAATTCTCATAACAGTGCTATGAGGCAGGTAGTTATATTCTCAGGTTACATATAAAGAAATTAAGGCAGAGAAAGACTGGGTAATGAAAAAGCAGATAGTTGGGGTGCCTGGGTGGCTCAGTTAAGCATCTGCCTTCAGCTCAGGTCATGATCCCAGGGTCCTGGGATGGAGGCCTGCATTGGGCTCCCTGCTCAGCGGGGAGTCTGCTTCTCCCTCTCCCATTCCCCTTGTTTGTGCACTCTCTCTCTCTCTGTGTCAAATAAATAAATAAAATCTTTAAAAAAAAAGAAATCTTATCTTAGAAAAAACAAACAAACAAATAGTTGGAACAATAAAACCAATCCTGGGAAAATCCACTGACACAAACACTCACTGTTGAAATCCAAGGTCAAGACAGGCCACATTAGCCTCTGTTATGCTCCAGTGTTTTTTACATATGAACATTTTCTTATCTTGATCTACAAGTTTTACTTCAACAATTCCTTCTGAAGTGATATTTCCATACTTTATGGAAACACTAAATTGTCCTAAAATTTAAAAAAACCAAAAGAATGAGCAATATTTAGGCATTCACTGTTTCTCTTCTTGATGAAAAGCCTTTAAAATAACAAAAGAGATAATTTCAAATTAACATTGAACACCATGAAGGTTTTCATAAATAATAGTAAGCAATTATTTCATAAGGCAACCCTGTGAAGACTACACTGATATTTATCCTCCATTTTTACACATGAGGTTAAGTTGCTCGCTCCAGTGGGGAAGCCAAGAATCGGAAGCTACCATATTGATCTCACTTCCAAGTCTGTGCTTTTCAGAGTACGCCAAATAATTAGGATGTAAAAAAGTTTTATGTATTCTCATATATTTAAGGCATTTAATGCCTCAAGAGAACAAAAGTCTGCCGCTGACAAAATAATCTCCATTATTGCTTCCCTTCTTTCCCACAGGCAGTAGGAAGCTCTCTTCTTCCTGTTCCACAATGCTTCAAGATCTTCACTCATCATCACACACATATTTAGGCTACTGTGTGCCAGGATATGTCGTGGTACCTTTAAAAATAAAGTTTTGAGTGCCTGGGTGACATTCGGTTGAGCGCCTGACTCTTGGTTTCAGCTCAGGTCCTGATCTCAGGGTTGTGAGATCAAGCCCCAGGTCAGGCTCCTCACTAAGCATAGACTCTGCTTGACTTTCTCTCCCTCTCCCTCTATTCCTCCCCACTGCATGCTCTCTTTCTCAAATAAATAAATAAATCTTTAAAAAAGAAAATGTTTTGAGTATTTTTTATCAGTTCATGACATGCCAGTGATAATTGATATCAAAAGATAAGCCTGAGGTTCGCTATCATAGCTAAAATTTCATGAGCTCTTTTTGTGTGCCAAACACTGTGTGAAGACCTTTACATACATCATTTTATTTAATTTTCATGAGGGTCTTGTGAGTTAGGAACTAGTGTTACTCACATTTTACCAATGTGGAAAATGGGGTCTGACAGTCACATAGCTTGTCAATAACCGAGGTGGGGTGGAGGGGCTTGCCACTTAATCTGACAGTGAAATCCCTAACCTTAACTACTCCACAAATCCATCTATCAGCATCCCAGCCTCCTCACTGCATTAGGAACCTGGATGGAGTGTAGACAAACTCTTTTGTCTGATGTGCCAAGTTTGCTAGGTTAGAGCATGTCCTAGGTCAGCAGTGGCCCAAGCTCCCCCTTAGATCAGGGCCAATGGGGTTGGGGCTCCCTAGGGGTAGGGGCTGGTGGGATGGATGCTGGAAGAAATTACTGGAGATGGAGGTCCAGAGGTGCATCATTATCCATCTCACGTAAAGACTTGTTCACTGGGTTCTGAACCAACTCAATGGCTCTGGGAATAGTTCTGCTATGCAGGTAGAAGTGAGGGTGGGATAATTTTGAAGGCCTGAGCAGCAGAGAATGGCACAGGCACTAAGGGGAAGTACTGGCCTCAGGTCCTTGTGCTGTGGTCTCAAAGGCTGACTATATTCTGGTGACCCTAATTTTTTCAGTTAGCACCACAATTACAATTGAGGGTCTAGAGAGGAATTTTGAACTGTCATCATAACATTTCATAGCAAAATTATTTTCTAATAGAAAGTATGGTAAACAATTTCCTTCTTACATCATAGATTGAACTAGGCTTTTCCTACCTTCAGCTGTGCATGCTCCGCTATTTAAAAATTTTGCTCCTGGACGAAGACATTCAAAACTCTTTTGCTGACAGTAAGTTGGGTAGGTTTTCCCATTAGTTGAACACACTGGGGTTCCATTCTTTGGGCACTGATAAGGGAGTTTACAAATACAGGTCCCATCGATGCATTTCTGCCATGGTTGGCAGAAGACTTTCTTGCAGGAGAGATGTGTGTATTTTTCAGTTAAGCACTTTTCTTCTACCAGATCCTTTTGAGGTGTGTTTAATATTGAAGAAAGCTGTAAAACACAAAATAAACACTAACAAACTAAAATCTTCTTTTTGGAGTTAAGTGAAGGAAAGGAACAAAACAGACTCACCTACCCCACAGTACAGATGAGGTGATGCTGTGTGGTGGCTTACGGAATCACAAACCCGACTTCTAGTCCTAGCTTGGGTACTTACAGTTATATGCCCTTGGGTAAGTTATCTACCCTCAAGAATTGTGTGTTTCCTCATCTGGAAAATGGGGCTAATATCTTCTATTTTGCAAGGCTATTGCAAGGATTAGAAATTATATACATATAATGGTTGACAGGTACTAGGCATGAAATCAATGGGAGCTATTATTATTCTAAAGCCAACATAAAATTCTGCCTTGGAAAAAATCAATGAATCTCTTAAGTCATATTAAGAAGAAAAAAATGGTGCTAAATATAGTCTTGTGGAATGAATTGGTTAATGAAATTGGTTAATTTTATTAATAAATGCAAAACCATTTGTTAAACTCCTACAGTATATAAAGTTTCTCTAAGATGAATGTACATGGGCTCTGTCTTCCAAGGGCTTGATATCTAGGCAATAAGACAGAAACATAAGGGGCACCTGGGTGGCTCAGTCGTTAAGTGTCTGCCTTCGGCTCAGGTCATGATCCCAGGGTCCTGAGATTAAGCCCCGGATCAGGCTCCCTGCTCGGCGGGAAGCCTGCTTCTCCCTCTCCCACTCCCCTTGCTTGTGTTCCTTCTCTTGCTAGCTCTCTCTGTCAAAAAAATAAATAAAGGGCGCCTGGGTGGCTCAGTCGTTAAGTGTCTGCCTTCGGCTCAGGTGATGGTCTCAGGGTCCTGGGATCAAGTCCCACATCGGGCTCCCTGCTCCACGGGAGGCCTGCTTCTCCCTCTCCCACTCCCCCTGCTTGTGTTCCTGCTCTCGCTGTCTCTGTCAAATAAATAAATAAAATCTTTAAAAAATAAATAAATAAATAAAATATTTTTAAAAAAAGATAGAAACATAATAGCTGGGGAACAAGGCAGATTGTGGTAATTGATATAGCATGGTACAAATACAACACAGTACTCTTGGAAAACCAGAGTGGAAGAGAGTTAGTCTTTCTAGGGGAATTTAAAAAGGCCTCATGGAGGTGGTAGCATTTGAGCAAGGTGAGGAAGGACAGATGCTAGCAGAGGGCTGGTGCTAGCAAAACACAGGAAGGATGCTGCAGAATGTATTTAGGGAATCATGAGCAGTCCCAACTGGTGGGCATATGGGGTTTTGTATGCTTCAAATGGGGTGGTCACTGGTCAGGAAACTGTAAGAGGCAGCAGGAGTGGAGTATGAGAATGGTTTGGAAAGACACTCAAGCAAGCAAAAGCAATAGGAGTGGACAATTTAATCCATGTAGGTTTGAGGGTGGGTCCTAGGTTTTGAGGTTGAGTGATGGTGAAGATGTATAAATGCTATTACGAATTTGGTTGGGACCTGTTGAGTATGAAGTGTCTGAAGGACATGCATCTAGAAATACTTTGTGGAAAAGGGATATCTGGTGTGTTTCTAAAGCTTGGAAGACAGATTATTAGCTCATTTATTAGTTAACTCAATAAATGAATTAGTAAGCACCACTTTGTGCCAGAGAATGGCCTAAGGCTAGGACCAGAGGAATAAAACTCTCTATCCAATCCAAAGAGAGACAGGCAAGCCTGACTGACAATTTTTCTGATAGAGATGGGCTGGGGATGCCATCAGGACAGTGTTCTGGACCCTGGCCTGACTAGGAGGCTCTGGGCACATTTCCAGAAAGAGCTAATCTGGGCTGAGTTCTGAGGGTGCTGAGCAGAAGTCGCTGGCAGAGGAGGTGGTGGGTAGGCACTTTAGGCAGGACTGTAAGAAAGAGAACAGCAGGCTTGACTGAGGCTGGAGAATAGAAAGGGAGGGTGGTGGATAAGAGAGCAGGTCCTGGGGGGAGCCACTTTAAGCAAGGAAGCAAATATGCATTTGAGGAAGACCTTGGAGATCAGATCAGACAGGCAGGAGGCCAATTAGACCTGCAGGAATCCAGGGGAAATATGTGGAGGGCTGGGAACAGACCAAGTGGGTCAAAAATGAGTTGTGGAAAGCCAGTGCTGGCTCCGTCCCCTAGTTGGCCCATCTGGAGGATGAGTGTCTTGTCCTTTAGTCTCCCCAGCCCCCAGCAACAGGTCTTCCTCTTTTTCTCAGTGTCCTCCCGCTGCAGTAATAGACAGTGAGGGCAGAAACAAATTGAACAATCTTTAAATGCTGTTGTGAAAACAAATGAAAACCAGTCAATTAAGACTATGCAAAAACTTGCCTCAGCTCTGAAAGTCATTCCATCAAATATGCTTTTCAGTAAACTTTACTAAATCGCCACAGATACAAGAAAATTTGACAAACTGGTCATTCACTACACTGGTTTTTGACACACTGATCTTTGAAGAAATCTATGAGTCACATACTTTTCATGGTTCCATGTACCTTTTTTGTGGCACTTTAAGTAGAGTTGAAATTTTTGTAATTATTTAGCTCTTATAGCTTCCACTGAGAAGATTGTAAGTGCCCTGATAGCAGGAAATGTCACCGTTCTACATATCACCCTTATAGTGAAAGAGAGACATTCCAATTGGGTGCAAGGAGAAAGCAGCTTGATTTTTTTCAGGCTTTATCCCTTTAAATCCTTTCTGAGGACTCATTTTCTTCTTGGTCTTTGGACAGAAACGTGGGAAAGTGTCATAACTTTCCAGTCATTCTTGGATTAGAGCAAAAACAAAAAACTAAGACTTTTAGTCCCAGGAACAATTGTAAAACAACAACTACAATATCTAGTTCTCTGTAATCACCGAAACTCTGATTTTCATTTCAGATGAAAGCTTCTTCTCTTTCCCAGCTCAGACTTGCTTTAAGGGCTATGGTATACCTGGTATTCATTGAGTGGTGAAAAAATGCCCAACGAACACAGAACATTGAGGAGAATTTATATTTAAGGAGCTGAAGATGTGCAGCAAGTAAAAGAGAGTTTGCTTCCCTGCCAGAGAGGGGTCCTTTGCTCCACGTGTCTAATGCTGCAGAGAGCTTCAGAGGATGAACACTGAAAAAGGGCCACTGAATTAGATGAACAAAGATCACTGGGACTCTTCAAAGAAGTAGTCTTAGTTGAATGTTAGAGGCAGAAACCAGGCTTACGTGAGTTGAGGCCAGAATGGGAAGTGAAGAAATGAAAGCAGAAGTACAGGGTAGCCATTTGATTGGCCTTGTGCTTTGACATGGGATACTGAACACAGGCTTTAAAAAAGTCTCTGCTTCCGGGGCATCTGGGTGGCTCAGCTGGTTAAGCATCTGACTCTTGGTTTTGGTTCAGGTTATGATCTCAGAATCGTGAGACTGAGCCCCTCATGGGCCTCTGTGCTCAGTGCGGAGTCTGCTTGAGATTCTCTCTCCTTCTCCCTTTGCCCCTCTTTCTCATGCTTTCTTTCTCTTTCTCTCAAATAAGTAAATAAATCTGTAAAAAAAAAAAAAAATCTCTGCTTCCTCTCCAAGGCCCACTAAAGTTAGGGTAAAAGAATTTTTTAAAATAAGGTGTAACCAATACACTCAAAGCGAATGGGGAGATTGTTAGAGGCAGTTAGTTAGGTTCTAACAGGATACCTGGAGGCCAGCAAAGAAGTCAAGGCCAGCTATCAGGAAGTCAGGGGCCTGTCCTGGCAGCACTCCAAAACAAAGCCAAGCCAGCTTAAACGAGAAAGGCCCAAGATGGCTGATAAGATGGATGAGTTGGATCAAGGCTTCAGGGCCCTAGGTCTCCACAGTCCACCTAGCAACGAGAGACTTGAGGTGTTATCAAAATTTTGAAAGCTGTAAAGCAGGTGGGCTGGTAGTAATATATTTAGCAGACCAGATGGAACTAAAAGGCCTAATGAGGAAAGGCCATAAGAATAAAGCAAATTCACCCCACAGACCCCAGAAAAGTTTAGGAATTAGTACTTTTGAGGGGCACCCAGGTGGCTCAGTCATTAAGCATCTGCCTTCGGTTCAGGTCATGATTCTAGGGTCCTGGGATCGAGCCCCGCATCGGGCTCCCTGCTCAGCAGGAAGCCTGCTTCTCCCTCTCCCACTCCCCCTGCTTGTGCTCCTCCTTTCTCTATCTCTTGCTCTGTCAATAAATAAATAAAATCAAAAAAAAAAAAGAAAAAGGAATTAATACTTTTGAAGAAGATGGAGTGACTAAAAATCCAGGCAATTGTTTAAAAGAAATGTTTGTATAAACTTGTTATAAAGGAATCTGATATAAATAGCAGAAGAAAAAAAATAGCAGAAAAAACAGTAATGATTTGAAAGTGGTTGTCTCTGGATGGAGAAAATCAGGGTGAGGATGGGTGTGATAAGGGTATTTTATAAGCAAAGATAATTGGTTTATGATCTTATCTGACTGGTCAGTATCTACGCTCAATAACATATTTACATTAACAATTAAACATTTTTAGTATTACCATGGTTTTAAGCCTCATTTGCCTTTGTAAACTATACACATGGATTAATTTGATAAACATAATTAAATGAAAAAGAATATCAGTGTGCTTTCAGCAGAGGAAAATTAAGTATTAGGCTTTGAAGGAAAATGGTTGGGATAGTAGCATAAAGGGACACAGAATAAAGAGAAACTTTGTTGTTGTTAGGATATAGGTGATTTCATAACGACTATAGGCTAAGATCAGGAATCTAACAGAATAGGGAAGACTGAAGCTTTAAGAGGAAGGGAGCAATATTGTTGAAACACAACTGAGAAAGATACAGGAGGAGGTATGATCAGGGAATGGTGGAGAAGTTTGCCTTAGAAATTAAGCAGTTTCCTATTCCTACAACTTTTCATTGTGAGTTAGAATCAATTTTATAATAATATTACATTTTAAATTTCAGGTTGATGGTAATGGCTAACACCAACACAGTGGCTGTTGACAATGGCAGTAATCGAATGAGAGCTAGAAAGTTATCGTGGGGCAGTGGATGGGGACAGAAGAGTAAGGTTTATTTATCTGCTATGTAAAACATGATGACAGCCAGCTTTAATGCTGAGGGGACTGGGTAAATTACATGTGTCTATGGGTCCTCAATGCCTAGAGTAGCGGGTGGATGATGTCTAAAGATATTATTAAAAGGGTTTATAAATGTATCTGTATACCAGTCTTTGCCTGAAACAGATTATAAATTACACTTCATACGGTTATGTGAACTCATCTTTCCAATGTATGTAGATGCTATTAAGATTACTAAGCAAAATTATTTAAATCATCATTGAAATTATAGACTTTGTCCCTTCCTTCCCTTCCACAATAACAGATACTAAAAGAACAATTACTATTATGTATGTGGTTGATGATGTAGGATGGAGTGATGGATCAAAACGTTTCTTAGTGTTTATCTTTGTGGTAAACATTAATACTGTTTACTAAAATCTTATTTAACTCTACTTCTGGGCAAATGGGAAGATTGCATTCCTTTCTGAGGTTGGACATGGTGGTGACTTGCTTTGGCCAATGAAATGTAAGCTGAAGGAACATGTAATGTTCGATGACCTGTCCTGACATGGTGATCATGGAGACATGTATTGCAGAGACAACATAGGACCAAAGCAGCCCACAATGCTGGGCCAACACATGGAGGACAGGTTCCCTAGAGAGTCACCCAGACCCACAGTGGACTTTGCGTGAGTAAAAACTAACTTCTGTAGTGTGAAGCCACTGAGATTTTGGAATTGGCTCTGACTGCTGCATAACCTAGCCAATACTGTGTAACATAGGCTAGGTATCTAGATATACATAGCTATCTATATCTAGATAGTCCTCATAATCCCAAACCTTGAGAACCACTTATCTAGAAAGTATGGGACCTAAATCATTCTGTGTATGAGCTATGTGTGAATTGACTGAAGCATGCTAAAGTAGTTTTTTTTTTCTTTCTCATTTTTATTTAGCCTGGAGTAATGAGCTATAAAAGACCTACCAAATACATGGATCAGGTATTGCCAATTATGGCCCTAGACCATCTGCATCAAAACCACTTAAGGTGAATCATCTTGTAAATGCAGATTCTTGAACTCAAACAATAGATCTTCTGAATCAGAATCTCTAGGGAAAGACCTTGAAATTTGTAGTTTAAACAAGTTCCATAAGGATTCTTATGCACCCAAAGACTCACAACCACTTCTGTTGACCAGTAACTTCTAAAGTGGGTTACATATAACCTGGGAGTGTGAAGATAATCAGGTGGGTAAAATAACAGAAATTATATTAATTTGTTTGTTTTATTAAAAAAGTAGGAAGAAATTAATCCTTACTAATAATCAAGTATGGATTGGCATGTGTGCCTGCACTCATAACGTATTAATTCAATATTTATTGAGCGCCTACTATGTGCCAGGCACTGTTCTGGGTCCTGGGGATACAAGAGTGAACTGCACAAAGTCATAGAGCTTACATTTCTAGTAGAAGACAGACAAAAATGAATAGAGAATAAATACATAGTATAACATAAGGTGACAAATGCTATGCAGGGTAAGAGGGATAGATACTGGGGAGTGTGAGGGGGAGGAATTCTATTTTGTATAGAATTGTCAGGGAAGACTTTGGGGGAAGTTTTCCTTGGAGCAGAGATATGAAGGTGAGTGAGCAAGCCAGGCAGGTGTCTAGATGTGAGATGTCATGGTCAGAAGAATTAGCCAAATCTGTAGGGGAGAAGCATATGTGATGTGCTCTTGGTCTAGAGAGCAGGTGTGGCTGGAGGGGAGTAAGAGGCTGGAAGAGAACAGGAGATGAGGTCAGAGAACTGGAGGGAGGGGTGATCAATCATATAGGACCTTATAAGTTACTGTAAAGACCAGCTTATTCTCTGAATGGAATATAAAGCCACTGGAGGGTGTGAGCCCTCCAATATTTAGAAGTTGGGCAGATGATAAAGAATTTGTAAAAGAAATAAGAAGATGTGGTCAGTGAAGTAAAAGACAAATAAGTAGAAAATTGTGCACAGAGGCAAAAAGAAGGGAGGAGTGACCAGCAGCTGTATCTAATGCTTCTCTAGTTAAATGGTGACCTTGAAAAATGTAATTTTGGTGGAATGGTAGGAACTCAAACCTGGCTGGGCTCAAGAAATAATGGAAAAGGAGAAACTGGGCACAGCAAATTTTTGAGAGTTTAGATGTAAAGGGAAACAGAAATGGGGGTGATAATTGGAAGGGGATATTGAGTCAAGAGAGGGTTTTCGTTTTAAGATGGAGGATCATATACACATGCTGGATTAAGGAATATTACAGATTATACGGTTTAGTTTTAGCTAAAATAATCTTCACAAGTGAGTAAGTGGCTTAAATATTCATAGTGTGAAATGAATGCTGGATTGAAAATAATGCCCAAATGCAACACCAGTGGAAAAGCAAATGGCAGAATCTACACTTCTAACCCCAGTAGAAGATGTTCATCAGCCACATCATGGGGTTAAAAACATGAAAAGTTAATTAGATATGACAAGAAGTCAGCCCTGTCCCCCCAATTAGTAGTATTAAAATGAGTACTTGAAATAAAGATTTATATCTAATATCATTAATGATGAACCTCTCCCTATGTGTTTATTGTGTGTTGCTCTTTCTGAAGTATCTTTTGCAGATAATATGCCATTAAATCAAATGAAAAATTTTAAAAATAATGAAGTGTGTTTAATGACATCATTCCATTAAAACTGTTGAAAATTATTAAAATATTATTTATGTGCTTAAAATTGTATTTGTCTTTTAAGGTGCATTATTTATACAGCTGTGTATTTATTATTAGAAGCACATGTTCAAAAATTTTTAGCAATTATGACTATAGTCTACTCATCTACAAAACATGACTCAATTCCTTTAGTTACTGTTGCTTTTTTGTGTATTTGGATTTGTTTTTGCTTTGTTTTGTTTTGGCCCTTTCCTTGGTATTTGCAATAATGTAGCAATTATTTAGATGTTAATTTTGTCTTTTTATTCTAAGCATGACTACAATGACAAAATTTTAGATAGATGGTTGGTAATTAGAAAATAAGAAATAAACAATCTCCTATTCACCCCAGTATACAGCTGTATAAATTTACCTGTGTCATCTTTGTCCCTTTTCTTTGTTCTTCATCTGTATCCTATAAACAAAGGAAAAAGAAAGATCAACTATGACCAAAGCACAGAAAAGGCCTCCACTGCCCCCTTCTACTGCTAAGGAGCAGTGTGATCTTGGGTAAATGACTTTCTGATTCTGTTCTTCCATAAAATGTGGAAAATAAAAATATTCTCACGGAGCTGTTCTAAGGATCAAATGCAAAATACATGGGAAAACACAAATAAACATTTAAGACCCTATAGAAATGCAAATATGATAGTAACTGTGGTGGATTGCAAGTGGCCCCGGTTCCACCTTCCCTGTGTTCCAGTCCTTTGCTGTGCTTCTCACTGGGGGCAGGGTGTATCTTCTTAACTCTAGACTCTGGGTCTGGCCATGTGACTTGCTTTAATTAACAGGAGGTCAGCAGATGTGACACAGGAGTTTGGAAAGTATCTGTCCAATTGGGTTTGTCCTTTTGCTTCTCTGCCAGAGCTATGAGAAGAACATGGCCAGGCTAGCAAAGAAGAACCACTCTAGCTGAGCCCAGCTTAGATCTGCTGATCACCAGCCAACCTGCAGACTAGTATACTAAATAAAGTCTTATTCCACTGAGATTTTATAGTGATTTTATTTTTATGGCATTAACTGACTGGTACAATCATCATTTCCCTGGAAAACACTGAGGGAAAAAAATGGAAAAGATTGAAAAAGAGTAAACAATATAGTATTTGGTCTGTCTTCCAGAAGTGAATAAACAGCTCATATCCTAAAGTTAACAACCATATGAGAAGTCTTTCCATTGGAAGAGTTTTAGGCCCTCTGTGGCCTCAGTTTCTTCTCATCCTGGTCTTCGCTAGCAAGTTTTTTCCATTTTTTCCTCTCCTTGGATCTGTCTATCTTGTATTATACCTGTTTCTGATATAAATCATGCTCTGATACCCCAACAACCAGATACTTAACCAGCAGCCATTCTATCCAGATAAAAAAGTAATGTTTCTTTACTAATACATAATGATGAATTGTTTTAATTCACATAAGTTATTTGAATTTTGTTTTTTGTTTTATTTTTTAAATAACTACCCCATTTGTCCCAGGACCAGTATGTTGTTGCTGGAAATGGTAGGAAAATGGTTGTACGGTATGTTCAGGTAGGGTGGGCACTTACATCTTGTTCTTAAAAAATTGGGAATATTACTTTGGGGTCAAATCCATTATTTTTCCTCAGAGATTTAAAAAAAATCATTGGCCTAGTTTATTGGTCTTGTTTTTTATTATGAAGGTAAGATGGCTGAAATTTTGTTGTTTTCATTTTTAATTAATTTTTTAAAAATAGGAAACACAAAGGAATATTATAAACAGGTGCCAATAAAATGTATATTTCCTTTTTTTCTTCTCCATTCAACCTACCCAGGCCAACCTCAGAGTCAACCATTTAATATTTCATTGTGAATCTTTCCAGAGATCATCATTGTACCTGAGCCTATATTTTATTTTCTAACTCTGCCCACCCCAACACCAGTGTAATTTGCAACCAGTGGCCCTTTCCAATGTTTTGTCATTAAAACCAATGTTATAGTGAATCTTTTTATATAATACACATCACTTCCCACATATAATAAATACATGTCAGTACTTATCTGAAATTGTGAAATTGCTGAACAAAAAAATTAGCAGTTTTAACTTTGAAAGATACTGCCAAATTTCTCTCTATAGAGGTTGTTTTTGTTTGCATTCCCAACATCAATATATGGCAGTGCCTATTTTCCATAATCTTGACCACAGAACATAATACCTCAGTAAATGTTTTTATCTTTGCCAATTTGGTATATAAAAATGTTATCTGAGTACAGTTTTATTTGCAATTTTCCCCAATGAGTGAGGCTGAACATCTCTCAATATGCTCAAACTTTAAGATTTTTATTTCTCTCCTTGCACTAACCGTATCTTTTTCTGATGTATACTGGATTGTGGTCTCGTTTTTTTGTTTGTTTGTTTGGCTTTTTTGTTTTATTTTGTTTTGTTTTGTTTTGTAGGAACTCCATATGTTAAAGAACCCAGCACTTTGGAATATGAGTTGCAAAACATTGTTCATCTATTGACTAATGGCAAGCCTAGTGTATTTGACACACCAAACAGACACTTTTTTAAGAAAAAGATTTTATTTTAGAGAGAGCGAGAGTGCAAGCAAGGGGAGGAGGGAGAGAGAGAGAGAGAATTTCAAGCCGACTCTGCATGAGCATGAGCATGGAGCCCAATGCCAGGCTCAATCTCACTACCCTGAGATCATGACATGAGTGGAAACCAAGAGTCTGACGCTCAACCAGCTGAGTCACCCAGGTGCACCCAGAACAGATACTTTTAAAACATTACCCCCACACAACAAAATTATTTTTAATAGAAACCATGAAAGAAATAAACAATAAATTATGCAGAAAAATGAAAACAGCAAACATTTTCTTTCATTGAAATTCATATATATATAAAACCATGCTTATAAAAAATAAGAATAAAAAATACAATAGAGTACAAATAAGGAAAAAACATATTTTTAACTATATAAATGTATTTAATGAAAAAGGAAAAGAATATACCTATATACAGGTCTGTTATAGTAATGAATAATAATACTGCAGGTTTTAAAAAATATTTTATTTATTTATTTATTTGAGAGAGAGTGAGAGAGCACAAGCAGGAGGTGGGCGGGGGGGAACAGCAGAGGGAGAGAGAGTAGCAGACTTCCCACTGAGCAGGAATCCCAACACGGAGCTCAATCCTAGGACCCTGAGATCATGACCTGGGCTGAAGGCAGATGCTTAACCGACTAAGCCACCCAGGTGTCCCAATAATATTGCAGTTTAAGAACAATTAAATACATTGATAAAAAAGAATAAATTTCATTTTAAAGATATTATTCAAATTTGGTAAAATATGTCCTGTATGTACTATTGTTTGCACTTGGCACACCTTCTGGTCTGCACTGTTTTACTATTTTATATTTTAAAAACAAAAATTCCAAATGGCCATTAGAATGGAAAAAACTGAAAACTCAACTTGTTTCTTCACCCCTTCATCCTTACAATTCACTGTGACCACACTGTTTATTTTGAATCTATTTACATTCAGAAAAATGTGATAACACAGAATTTGGAGACAAGAGCTGTACCTAAAATGATCTTGAACAATTCCAGTGCATAATGTATATGCGACTGCCTCTATCAGGGTTGAACTGAGAGTTGACTGAATTAACTTAAACTTCTAACACAATGTCTACTAAAGGATACATTAAAAAAATGCCCATTTGAAGTTTACATCTGTATTTTAAAAACTCAATCTCATTAATCCCAGCAATTGTTAACTGTACTGTCTAATACAAGAGCCACTAGCCAAATGTGGCTATCTAAATTAAAATTAGTTAAAATTAAATTAAATAGGAATTCTTCTGCTTCCAGTCAAGATTGAATAATAGGGGCCAGATTTACCTTTCAGCCTAAAACAACCAAGAAATGGACAAAATATAGAAAGCAATGATTTTCAAGATACTGGACATCAGGCAAAGAAGGGTAATGATCCCTGAGAGTTGAGAAATAAATGAAGAAGCCGTATAATTGATTGCCTTAAGAGAGTTCCAAGACTGTGGTGCAGAGACGGAACTTGAGCTGAACCTAAGGGACTCCCTGAGCTGAGGAGACAGATCTGAGAGTCTGAGGGGACCAAAGCAGCTATTGTTCACAGAATCGAGTACTGGAAAGAAGTGAGTGGAATAGAAAGAGAACTTTGGAACTCCTTAGCATATCCCCTCTGAGTGTTCAGCGAGTATTCATCAGCGATAATGGGTGTGAAGAAACTACCGCAGACTGGGGAAAGAACTACCCAAAAAGAATTCTAAGTGACAGGGCCCACATTCAAACAGGGCCATGAATAGTGCTTGTTCTCATCACTTGTGATTCGTAGGGCATTTGGAAGTGTACACAGAAGGATCTTGCCTCATAGTGTGGAATAATTAGTCCTAGACTGAGTACTATTCTGGTCCTATGTAAGAATGCTTAAAGCCAAGACCTGAAAGGATCAAACTGTTTTCAGTAACTTAATTACATCTCAGAACAAAGTTCAAGAATATTTATAGGGATACAAAAATACTCAGCATCCAGCAGCATAAAATTAATATTATCTGCCATGTAATAAAGAATACTAGACCTGCAAAGAGGCAGCAAAATATGACTCCTAATAAGAAAAATCAATCAACTGAAATTCACCCAGAACACTAGCATAGATGTTAGAATTAGCAGGCAAGGATATTCAAGTATTTATTACGACTGTAGAAACATGAAAAATGTATGAGATCCAAATTAAACTTCTAGCATTGTAAATTACAGTATTTGAGATAAAAACAATATGCTGGATGGGACTAATGACAGGTAGGACTTGGCAGAAGAAAAGATTAAAAAACCTAAAGATTTATCAAACAATGTATAAGTGAGCTGTGGAACAAGTTCAAGTGGCATGGTATGTGTGTAATGGGAGTTCCAAAGGAGAAGTGAGTGAGAGGGGAACAAAAAATGTATTCGAAGTAATAGTGGCTGACACTTTTCTAAATTTGATGAAAAATATAAATCCACAGTTCCAACAAGCTGAAAAAACCCAAGCAGAAGAACCATGAAGGAAACTCCATGAAGGCATATCATACTCAAATTGTCAAATACCTGTGATAAAGAGAAAATCTTCAAAAGACCCAAAAAAAAGAGATACATTATGGGCGAAGGAACAAAGGTAAGTGTGACAGCAGAGGTCTCATCACTAATGCAAGTAAGAAGACAGTGGAGTAGCAGTTAAAAAATACTGGGGTGGGGGGAACCCTGTTGACTTATACTTCTATACCTAACAAAAATATCATTAAAAGTTTAAGGCAATGCTGGCCTCATAAAATGAGTTTGGAAGTTTTCCTTCCATTTCTATTTTCTGGAACAGTTTCAGAAGAATAGGTATTAATTCTCCTTGAAATGTTTGGTAGAATTCCCCTGGGAAGCCATCTGGCCCTG